TTCCTTAACAAGAAATGAATTACATGTCCTATAAAACCATGGTTGACCTAAGGCTTGTTGTCCATTGGATCAACTCATTTAAAATCAGCTGGGTAGAAGGTGCAGTGGCTTATAGGATTGGTTTCCTAAGGTACCCTTTGTACCTGTATTTCTTTTTTGTCTAGTACAGGAAGATTCTGCCTTCTTAATACATTAAAAAGAACCATTACAAAATAGAATGGAAAGAAAATTCCTTGAATTCTGCCATGGTACTCAAGACTCCTTTTCTATATCTTATGTTTTGTTGTTAAGATGTAGTATGTTTTGTGGCGGGAGGAGATTGGGGGAAGGGAATGGAGATGCACACACCAGTCTTGGGGCTTAAACTCAAGACTTGGGGTGCTCTCCCTGATGATTTTATGCTCAAGGCTAGTGCTTTTCCACTTGAGCCACTGGACCATAACTCTACTTCTGGCTTTTTGGTGGTTAATTGGAGATATGAGTCTCATAGACTTTCCTGCCTAGGCTGGCTTCAAACCTCAGTCCTCAGATCTTTGCCTCCTGGGTAGCTAGGATTATAGGCATGAGCTCACAGCTCCTGGTGGTTGTCTGGTTTGGAACTGTAGATTTTTTTCCTATGTTTCTTCGTAAATAGAACCATTGCCAGGTTCTCTAGTCCAAGGGGATGGAAAACACTTGGTAGAATAAGACCAGTTTTTTTTTGTTGATGTCCAGACATAAACCATCATCTTTTCTCTGAATAGTTTTCTGTTAGTGGTAGTCTTTGAGGAAGGGGTGTGTGTGTGTGTGTGTGTGTGTGTGTGTGTGTGTGTGTGTGTGTGTGTGTGTGTGTGTGTGTGTGTGTGTGTGTGTGTGATATACATGTGTGCGGTTTTTGTGGAGGATTGGGTTGATTTCATTTGTGGCCTTATTCGCTTTTTTTTTTTTTTTTGGTCAGTTGTGGTGCTTGAACTCTGGGCCTGGGCGCTGTCCCTGCACTCTTCAGCTCAAAGTGAGCGCTCTACCACTTGAGCCACAGTGCCACTTCCGGTTTTCTGGGATTCATTGGAGATAAGAGACTCATGGGCTTTTCTGCCCAGGTTGGCTTTGATCTTCAGATCTCATCCTCCTGAGTAGTTAGGATTACAGGTGTGTGCCACCAGAGCCTGGCTGCCTTATTCATTCTTTACTTAAATAGTTTCTTGAAGTCATTTATAGCTCCACCTCATGTGTACTGCTAATTACTATAACATTTTTGTTTCCCTAGATCTGGTTAGGAAAACTATCACTTAGATTAACATCAGTACTAAATGAGAGCATACATACAGAAGTTTGGGGGGTGGGTACTGGGCTTTGAACTCAGAGCCTCTCAATTGCTAATTCCTCTACCACTTGAGCTACATCTCAAGCCCTTTCTTGCTTTTAGGTTATTTTTCAGATTTGCCCTCACACCTTCATGTGCAGTCAGCCTCAGAGTTCAATCTTCCTACTGATGCTACCCTTGTATCTGGGATTACAGATCTATTCCACCACACTCTACTTGTGAGTTGTGATAGGATCCCATCAAATTTTGCCTGGACTCTAACTAAGTGCAATTCTCCTAATCTATCCCTGACTAATGAGTAAATGAGATTATAGGTACATGCTACCACACAAGTCTTAAAATTCTGTAAGAGTATTATTAATGTAATCGAGCACTATACAGCTATTCATTTGTAAAAATTTTTGAAAGTATTGATTCTGATAGTCTTAATATTTTATTTATTTTTTTTTAGTCTTAATATTTTAAAAAGATTTCTAAAAGGTTTTCCTTTATTACAAAAAAAAAACAGTAAATCTTCATTAAGTATCAGCATTGTCTTTTTCTCTATCCTTTTCCTCTCTTTTGCTATCCTTTTTCTCTTTCTTTTTTCTTTCCTTTTTTCTCTCTTTCTTTCTCTCCTTCCCTCCTTCCCTCTCCCTCTCTCTCCCTCTCTTTCTCTTCTTTCTTTTCTTTCCTTCCTTCCTTCCTCCCTCCCTCCCTCTCTCCCTTCCTCCCTCCTCCCCTCTCTTCCTTCCTTTCTTCCTTCCTTCCTTCCTTCTTTCATTCCTTCCTTCCTTCCTTCTCTCTCTCTCTCTCTCTCTCTCTCTCTCTCTCTCTCTTTCTCTCTCTCTCTCTTTTTCCAGGGTCTAACTCAGTGCTTTGTGCTTGCTGCAGGTACTCTATCTACCACTTGAGCCATGCCCTGGTCCAGCATTGTTTTAAGGTCCCACATTAAAAGTCTATCATCCTAGGCCTTGTGAATGAGAATAAAGAAAAAAATCTCTGTTCATAATATTAATATTTCTATGTAACTAATATTCTCCTCAAAAGGAGTTTTATTCTTGTTTAGTTATAGAATGACATATATGAGAATGGCATAAGGACACTTTAAGTCAGAGACAGGGAGAGGTCCGTAATTATAATTAGTTCAGTGCAAGCTGCCTGCCCTAGTTCTGAGGGAGTAGGACTGTGGCGTGGTTGAACTGGGTAGAGCTTCTCAGGGCAATTGTGCTTGTAACTTGGGCCCTCCTTCCTGTATCAATACCAATATGATCATTTGAAGTTGTTATGTTTGGCATCTCAAAGTTTGAGATAAACTTTCTACTTCAGTGTTAGACTATACGTTTTAAAGGGATCTATCTATGTAGCTCTCTGTGGAAACATGTATAGAATTCTACTTTAAAATTCAGAAATTCTGTTTCTGGAAATTCAAAGACTAAAAGTTATATACATAATTATTTCAGTTACTTTTAAGTGAATTAGTGAGTTCTCATGACTGTGAAGCTATGATTGCCCAGTCATTGTATACAAATGGAGATGTTTTCTGTATTCATGCTGCAGAGTCAGAATTTAGGATCTCTGTTTGGTGGACATTATCATTAAAATATTGCTGTGAATGAATGTGATGTTTTCTTTGGAATCTGTGCCTACCGTGATTTGCAATTATCTCTCCCTATTTTCTGATTTATAAATAAAAACTAATGATAGTATGTTCACAACATGGTTATATGCATACATACATATATATATATATATATATATGAAATAGGAATTAATCTTTTGAAAACTTAATTGCTGAATGATTTTCTTAGCAGTGAAAACTGTTAATATGGAGAATACAGCTCGGACTGCTCCAGTTAGCAGACATATTACATTCTGGTAGGCAAAGGCTGATCACTAAGAAGTAAAGATGGTTGTGAAGGGTGATATGATTCCGAGAACTTCATATTCATGTGGAATGTATTCTATTCTTATTTTAATTTAAAATATGTGCTTTATTTATTTATTTTTTGGGGGTCCGGTCATGGGGCCTGAACTCTGGGCCTGGGCGCTGTCCCTCAGCTCTTTAGCTCAAAGCTAGTGCTCTACCACTTCAGCCACAGCGCCACTACAGCTTTTTTCTTTTTGCTTATGTGGTGCTGAGGAATCGAACCCAGGGCCTCATGCATGCAAGGCAAGCGCTCTACCACTGAGCTACCTTCCCAGACCCTGTGCTTTATTTTAAAGCATTTATATCCCAATTAAAGTTCTAATTCCATTTTTTCTTTATTTTAGCCTACTGTAAAAAATATTTATTAAAACTCCAAACTTTGAAATTTGTAGAAGTTCTTTTTTATATTTTTTTATTTCCAAGGTGATGTACAGAGGGGTTAAGTTTCATACGTAAGGTAATAAGTGCATTTCTTGTCACACTTGTTACCCCTTTTTTATATTTTTTTATTGTCAAGGTGATGTACAGAGGGGTTAAGTTTCATACGTAAGGTAATAAGTGCATTTCTTGTCACACTTGTTACCCCTTTTCCCTCATTTTTCTCCTACTTTTTCTCCCCCACCCCCAAGTTGTACAGATCATTTCCAACATATTGTTTTGTGTATATCACTGTTGCATTGCTTCCTTGTCCTTTGTCTCACCATTCTCCAATTCCATGTTTCATGGGAAGTTCAAATAGGTAATCCATCCCTAGATGCAACTTGATAAAGTACTGTACCAGTCAGGTGGATATAAGGAAACTTACAGTGTTTTATTCTCTCAGATCTCCTCATAAACATCTTTCAAAGAAAAAGGCTAAATGCTTGGGAATATTTTTTTCATTCTCTTGTTTGTTAAAGAACCTCAAAACCATACCATAAACTGTTTCATTCAAAACCACAATTCAAATGGATTAAAATCCCTGTTTGTTTGTTTTTTTTAACAACCAATAGGATGACTAAAAATCCATACTCTGATTCTAATATTGGTGGGACTGGATTGTTTGATTCATTTGGCCCATAGAAAACTGACTTATTGAATTCCCTGATGGTACACCTTGTAAGGGTCTAAGTATGAATTTCATGCAGTAACACTACCAGGCACCAGCGCTTGTCTATTTCTTTGTGTATGTAGATACTGACAGGGGAACGCACAGAGGTCAGGCACACAGTGGTGCTGTTGACATTCTAGCTTCTTTCTTTTTTTAAAAAAAGGTCAAAGCTTGAACTAGAAATTCCTGTCATTGGCCCCTTTGCCTTTTGTAAATGCTCAAAAATAGTTACTAAATCATAGTGTTTTTGTCCCTATGAATGTGTAACCACTCTTAAATATATAATATCTAGCTTTTGCTTGTCTATTGGCATACCCAGTGACCAGTGGTATGCCTCAAGATTCTTGATTTAACTGTCTGGGACCTGTATTGTTTCATGTGATAGCCACTAAAGGCATTGACTGTTTATATTTAATTAAAATTGTAGTTAGTTCCTAATTTAGTGCTCAATAACAGTTTTTCATTTGACCTTTGATCTCTTTACAAAACAGCAAGAAACTTGCATGTCAACAGCACCACCATGTGCCAGGTCTCAATGGACTCCTCTATTACCCAGTAATGCAAATAAGGGCTCAAGAGTCATGAGTGGCCACCATCTTGGATTGTTGCATCATGTCAGAAAGTTCTATTGAACACAGGATATCTTGGAGCCTTTTTGAGCTTAGGCTGAAGGGTTCTTGTTTATGTTCATAATGCAGCTCTCTGCTTCAGGAACTGAGACCTCCAGGAACAAGGAAATTCTTCAAGAGCTGCCTCACTTTGTGACATGTCTGATCTCTTGCTCTCATCTCTGCAGCATGAACAAGGTAAGAGGCATTTGAAACAGTATTTGGATTTTTTTTATGGTACCATGATCTTCCTCTTTCCATTGTACAACTAGGTTGTTTCACATGCCAGAACACTCAAGATGTTATATCATGTTGTACAATCCCTGTGAACAGTGTTTCAAAGGGTCACGGGTCGGGAGCAGTGTTTCCATGGTTATATAACCTCTGGAGGTATCATTTGTATTTTTTAGAGGCCTTTAGTGGCTGAAAGATTGATTGTTAGTATGACTCCCTTGGTATGACTTTTAGAAGATTGAAACTCTGGAGCCAGATTTCCTGAGATTAAATATCAGCACTGCCAGATGTTACCTTCAATGATCTAGACAAGTGGCTTAACTTCTTGGGACCTCCATTTCCCCCATGTATAAAATACTAATAATAGTGGTGCCTGCCTGGCAAGATTGTTGTAAGGATGGAAGGTGTTAACATGGTGCTGATCCATATTCCAAGCACTCGATACCGTTTGTTGCTCTTGCCCTTGATGTTAGAATATTCTTGTCCCTTAGACCTAGTTGCTTTAAGGAGTATCTACAACATTTCCATTAATTCCCTGATTGATCTGGTGAACAGTGATTGATTACTAGATAGGCACTCTGGGAATAAATGATGAATATGTGCTGGATCAAGGTTTTTGATGGTGATGGTCTATTTTGGGTCAGCATGACTACTGTTCTAACAAGATAAGTCTCAATTGTGGGATCTAGGAAGGGCAATATAGAAGAGGTGGGATTTTAAGTTGGACCCTAGGTAGTAAAAGTTAACATACTGGGCTGAGGAAGCACTCCAGATAAAGGAAACAGCTTGTGCTTAATCACAAAAGCATACATGAAAGTCTGGTAGGTTTAGAAAACACAAAAGAGTTTAGACTGGCTGAAGCAGGGTTTCTCAGCTATGATACTTGACGTTTGGACTAGGTAATCTTCTATAGTGAATGACAGTCTTCTGCACTATAGGATTTTTAATAGCATCCATTACACTCATTCAGTCAATAACAACCCAAAATGTCTCCTGAATGTCACGCAATGTCCCTTCGCAAAAAAAAAAAAAAAAGTTGAGAACTACTGCCCTAGTGGGTGATGGCTCAGAGACCAAGGGAAGAGTCAGATACTGCAAGCCACTAAAAGCATGAAGAGCTTGCTTCTCCTGCTGCAAGTATTCCAGAATTTGGAGAGCCATTTCCCTATGAAGAGAGACATTTCCAAAGACTGGCAAAAATAGATGTTTTTAATCTATGGGCTCCCGTATGATTGGTTAGGACTCTTGGATGATTTTGTATTGCAAAGATGTATGGAATGCTTACACTTCAGAAAACAAATTTAACTTATTGAAATCCCTCTCTATGTACCATTAGGCCATTTGTTCAGCCTTTTCAAAGATGGGAAGGTCTAAGATCTCTTGAGTATTTGCAAGATTCTGGAAGGGACCTCCAGATTGAAACTCTGGGGGAGGCTGTATCTTCTTTGCTCTATCTGAAGAGATCAGGAAAAATAACACAGCAATTGTTTTTGAAAGGTTTGCATTTGGCTAGACAAAGAGAAAGAAGCTCTTACTTACCCTGGCTTAAATACTTACCTTCAAGGAGTCAGAAAATTCAGCTTTGAAAACTCTAGAAAGGAGACAGCTGTGCTTCCTCACAGTTACTATGTACGACAGAGGAGGAGAACTAGCATTGTAAATCTTGGTTTCTGTTATTTCAGGTTTGATGTACTAGAAAGTAAGACTCTTGGGAAATGTCTGATCAGCATGCACAATTTGCTTTGTCGGCCCTGCCCAGAGTTTCTCCAGGGCAACTCCATACCTGCTATCGGGGCTGTGCTCTTGACACACACGTGAGAATCAGACTCCCAAGAAATTTCAAGTGTCTCAGTAGGTGTGTCTTGACTAGAAAGAACCCAGGTTCTGCCTGAGTGGCCCAGTAAGCACTTGATTTTATGTTATTTTAATTGAAAGTAGAGATTAAGATTGATGCGTCACCTCCAGCAGTCAGCATTTTTCTCAGGCTTTCTTGGCATAAGACAAAGAATAACTCATTCTCTGGGGAGGAAACTTCTTTCTCAGCACAAATACAAAGCCATCTCATCAATGAGGTATGTGAGTTAAAGTATTAAAAGTATTGCTGTGGGTGTGATTGGCATCCCAAGTGGACTTATTCCTAGAAAGTTAGAGAACTGTGTGTGTTGCTGTCATTGGTCACATGCTATAACTCTCTTCTTCCTTCTTGAACTCCAACTAGCTGAAGGGGCATTTCAATTAGGTATCAGGGAAGAAGATAGTTGCAGAGTTTAGGGTCCCTGTTTATCATGTGAGGTACCATTGGTGATGATGCTGGCATAGATATTGGCAGGTTTGCTTGGGGTCAACCAGAGATGATCTGTGTGGAAAAGATGCCCAGGGCTTCATGGCACAATGACAAACTAAGGCTTGAAAGAAAATATAAGTAAACATTAAATGAGCAGGGAGTTTAGAAGGCCTTATTAATGTCTAATGGTAGAAATTGTAAAAAAAAAAAATGTTTAAAGCTCAAAATTCTTTTCCATCAAAAAATATTCTGAAATGGGTGTGGTGGTACATGCCTGTAATCCTAGCACTTGGGAAGCTGAAGTAAGAGATTCAAAAATTGTGGTACAGCCTGGGCTACATAGTACAGGACTCTGACATTCTGAACTAGTTCAGAAGACAAGCTAATATATCTGATATGGTAAGAGCTTTAATTTAGCTAATTTAGTAAGGTCCTGCAGATTAAAGTAATAACAAAAGATTGTTTTAATAGAAAATGAGCAGTGAACAGAAAGATAAAATCCATAAAGGAATAATAATAAAACATATAGGAAGTATTCAACCACCGCAGTAATCAAAGAAAGGCAAATTAAGATGATGAGATGGTATTTTCCACCTATGCAGTTGATAAGGATAGGTAAAATTACTCAATGAAGGTGGGAATTGGGAATATCAGGAGCTCTCATACACACTGAAAACACAGGCAGGAGTTACTGTGAATCAAAGCTTAATGTACATACCTTTTGACCCAAAAAATTTATTTCTAGAACATTAACTCAAAACTATTGCCATGAATGTGTGTAAAAATTTAGCTAAGATGCTCATCACAATATTGCTTAACAGTAATTTTTTTCAAGTAATAACCATGGAACAGCCATGCAATAAAAAGCACCAGGGAAGCCTGGAAGAGCACTTGATGGCATAAAAAGATGTTCTAAGTAAATTAAGGAGAAGGCAAGTTGCACACTATATTGTAATTCCTTCCTTCCTTCCTTCCTTCTTTCCTTCCTTCCTTTCTTTCTTTTTTTCTCTCTTTCCTTTTAGAAAAGCACATGTATGTACACAGAAAAAGGATAGTAGTTCACAACAAATGTTCTTTTTGCATGTCTGATCTAAATTTTCTTTAGTAGTGCGCATTTTTCATACCAACAACACTTCTAAGTAAAACGCAGTAAATGCTTGGTAACATATGAATTTTTATTCTAGTGTTACTATGCATGATGAATAGACTGAACAATAAGGCCCAAAATGTCAAAAGTTGTTTTCTCAGAAGATAGGTATATTTTTTTCTTTCCTTAAAAAATTTTTTTCCAGTATTTTTACCTTTCCTACAGTAAGTATTTGTGTTTTATTAGTAAGCAGAAAAAACAAACATTAAAATAAATACTATGTTAGTTCTTTGCATTTGAAGTACAGCTGCAGGAAGATGTTTAGTGGGCAAATAGAAAACAAGAGAGAGATTGATGAAACAAAGATTAGTTCTTTGTAGCTGTTCTGTTTGGCCTATTTCCAGGAAGGAAGCTCTTAATGTATTGATGGTTTGGGGGCCATATAAGTAGATGAATGCTCTTGAAAGAGATACTGTCCTTTGGTTTAGTGGCTCAAATTATTTAAAGTGGGTATTACGTCCTCTTACTCAGAATTGTCATTTATTTCTTCATTTATCTCTTCAAAGATGTTGCTGATGTATACAAGATTGAACTAGACCCATTTTTCTCAAACTGCGGTTTGGGAAGTCTTGAAAAATGAGGCTCTGAGACTCTTTCAGGAGTTCTACCTAGAAGCTCAAAGCTATTTTCATAGTGAATATAAGATATTATTTGGCTGTCATTTTCTTTCTGTCTCAGTCTCTCTCTCTCCCTCTCTCTCTCACACACACACACACATACACATAAACACATTATTTCAGGTGGTTTCATGATCTGTAGTGCTGTCACCCCTGAGATAATTCTTGTTCCACATTTTCCATATTTTTTTTAGTTTTAATCTCTAATATGATGTACATGTAGAATTAAGTCCTATAAAACAAAATTCTTCAGGGCTCATGTAACTTGTGAGCCTATAAAGGCATCCTAAGACAAAAAGTTTGAGAACCAGTCAGTGAACTGGACTGTACACATGCCCTAAGAATGACAAGACATACTCTAATGGGTGGAGTGCAGCTCAACTTGTAGAGCACTCACCTAGCATGCTTGAAGCTCTGGGATCAATTCTTAGGCCTCAAAAACAAAACAAAACAAAAAAAAACACTAACAAGAATATTGAGTGTTAAGTGTTTTTACCTTCTTCTACTTTTACTTCCAACACCTTAAGAAATAATTGTCCTTAATCTTTCTGAAAGCTTCATTTTTATAGTGTCTGGGAAGCTAAAAGGTACATTGGTGATACCAGGCCAATGTAGCACCTGTGTGGCAGGTAAAGCCAGTTCTATTGGATGTATGGAAATGGTGATGTTAGACCTTTAGACACCTTTGCCATGTGCGTCATACTGGGCAGTGCAGTGAAGTTCTAGGAAGATAATCAGAATATAAATACCTTCTGTGAGGTGTAGGACTGCAAATGTAAAATAACACCTGGTCATGTGCTCTCATTGATGATTGGTTTGACATGAAGAAGGGAGAAGACAAGTTTAAAAAGATTAGCTGAATATGTTTAGGTAATATTAATTTGCCTTTAAAATGCATATAATTGTGTAAATGTAT